GTTCTTAGATGGGAAATATGGAATTATTTGGGCCCTAAGGGCAGTGCGGTAGTGAAACTGTAGTGAGCTGATTGAGGATAGGGCGCCAGCTTGCAGGAAGCTGGCAAGAACGATCTCAGTCTGTACAAACGTTTCTATTAACTGTTTAAATGTTACTTGCGCAAGAACAACGTCCTCCGGATGTTTATCTAGAGCTTATCCTAATCATTACATGGGTAGCAATTAGTCTTATGTACATAAGGTTTTCAGGTCATTTTTAATGATCCTCATGGTTTGTTAGAGTCGCCGTAATTGGCCCTTTTCTGCCTGCTCCTTCCGCAGTTGCACAAAAACCCCAGACAAGCAATCACAATGCAGATCAAATAGAAAACCAGCAGCGCCAGCGGCGCGCTGCCATAGTCGAAAACTTGGTTCTGCGATGGCAAATATCCGTAGTTAAACAGCACTTGGGTTCCGTTCGGCGATGGACAAGGCAGCTGGACTATTATGTCCTGATGCTGCACCTACACACCCATATCGGTAATTTTTTCACGCATAAATCGCCCAGTCCTTACCTGTTTATTCCTGCAAAGGGGCGCAACTGCGCTGCTTTCTATCGCTTCAGCGCTGAGCTCGCGGTTCAGCACGTAGGGCATCAGCCAGGACATTGGGCTCAGACGTCTGAGCCACCCCACATAGAATGGCATGTCCCTATAATGCAACACATACCCGCCGGCCAGGAAAAGCACCGTGGAAATGAGGCTGGCCAGCGTGGAGGCTGTGTTGGAGAACGGCAGGAGGTAAACCAGGGCCAACTGAGCCGCCTGGAGGCAGCTTAGCAACATCAGCATCACGCCTAAAAACGCCCCACAAGCTACATTTGCAAACCAATCGCAAACCCACGCAGTTACCGATGTAGACGTAAAACCCGTCGTAGTTGTTCAAATGCTGCATGTACAGGCCACACATTGAGTAGCTGGGGATCACGTAGATCAGCCAAATAAATAGCGAAGGAAATAAATTAATTGCAGTCTGAAAAACAGGGGAATGTGAAACCGCAAAAATCGATTGAGGCAAAGCACCTTTGTGAGTATGTAAGTCAATCGGCCATACAACCCGTCCCGAATGTCCCTCTCAACGGTCTTCCGGTTGTTTTTCACCTCGCTGAGCGTCAAGTACAGCAGCAAAGGCCACGGCGCCACACACATAACGGCGTAATGATAACCTGCCCAAAAGAACATTGTCATCAGCCAAAAATCACCCTTAACCTGCTCCAACGAAGCCTACCTAATCGGTCATTTAGAATGAGCTGCGGGTCCGTGTTGGGGACGTCCCAAAAGATCGCGCCCAATATCAAAGACAATGAAGCGGACATCATCACCAAAGTCAACCACTTGATGAAAGTGCCAGGTTGAGTGTACACCATCGCTTTCCTGCAATTGAGGCTCAAACTGCGTGTGCATGCAGGTTGGAGTCAACTACTCACGTGAAGAGGGCCAAAGATTGCACCAGACAGTTGGATCGTCTAACAGGCATCGGCAAGGCTGAGGGCGGCCCAGGATCGCTGAGTGGCGGCTGTTTTTGCCTGAAGACTTCGCCCAATTGCTCAATGCGCTGAGAGGATTCGAGCATGGCCTCAGCTGATAAATCGTCCAACGTCACCAAGTCCACTAAGAAGCCGCAGTTTTATGTGAAAGTTGCAAAGTTTGACCAATTACTTACAGTAATAGTCGGACGGATTCTTGAAATTCGGACACGGATAGTCTACTAGAGCGAAATATGGCAACATGTCCCTTCTTCGTCCGCTGAACATCACTCGACCTGCAGACAGCAGGAGTATGCGAGACAACATCATGAAGATTTCATATGTGGGTGGATGAAGCGTCAGGATCACTATTCTGCCCAACGAGCTGCCGCCAGCTCCTCCATTCGCCCACTGCCGCAGATACCTAAGAAAGCGCCATCGACACCACATTCACATTTTCCTCCTTGGACTCACTCAATGAGGAAGAACGTGTCGAATATATCCATCCCTCTAGTGGGCTGGTCCAGCACCACTATATCGGTGTCTTGCAGCAAATGGCAGGCCACGTTGAGTCTTCGCCGCTCCGAGATGGTCATCGAGGACACCTTGGTGTTCCTCACCTGCTCCAGGCCCAATTCTTCTATAAGGAGATTTATCTGCAAGCCAGCTGGTTCAGAACCCCGAAGTGGTTTTTGCCTAAAACCTTACCCGATCGGAAGCGTCGATTTTGAGATACCCCAACTTATCAGTGGGCTTCCTCAGGTCGTAGTGAAACCTATGAAAACATCATTTACATATACAGGAACATTGCAGAAGACAACCGAGGGCAAATTTCACAGTTATTCTGTTATGGAACTAGTGGGTTTTTCGGGTTTTTAGGCAGTCGTAAAATGGAATTTCCTCCTGATGTTTCGCAAGCACGAGTGGCTTGCATCTTCAGAGGGGTTTGCTTGAACACTTACACTGTTTTCATCAGAACCCGTTCAGTTCTTCCGCAGAACTCAACGGGTTCTGTGGGTGTCGACTTGTATGCAAATTTGAGCAATTTTTGGCAAATTTTCAAGTTTTGCGTTCGAAGTTGCACTTTTTCTTAGAATTGCGGGGCTGCGCGTGTTTGATTTCGAGAAATTCCCTCTCAAAGTTGAGTCTAGTTAAGCAACTCTCTTTGGTATTATTTAGTAAGAAAATATTTGCTTAATTAGTTCTTCAACTGCCGATTTGTTCGCTCATTTTCCTAATTTTCTGCAAGTTTTTATATTTAAGTCGCCAGGTTTCTGTTTGAAAAATTATCA